GACCTCTTTCATTATATAATAATTTTCAGAGATAATCAAGGGTCATGCTGAGTGTAAAATCACTGCACCTGATTTCTCTTCCAGTGGGAACAGCCTGGCCAGGAACAGCTGTATTCTACCACAGAACACTGTATCAAGGGACTTAGACAACCTCCTCAGCAGATCTGAAACAAGATTCCCAGCACCTATCATCTTCATGTATTATGAACTAAAGCAAATATAAGACTAAAGCAAATATAAGGTGTTAAAAAAGCATATATATTTCATTTAACAGTGATTGAAGTTAATCTAAAATATAACCTAATGTGAATTCAGTGATGTTTGAGTATCTTTCAATTAATGTAGTGTGTAGCTCCATAAAGAATCTCACCAGACATGCAAATCAGTCAATTACATCGTGATTGGGTAATAACAGTAATTAAGTTGTTCACTGAAGAACTTATACATTGTAACAGTGAAGCTCTTTCTAGTAATTTCATCAGTCTCCACATCATTTAACAAATAATGTCTAGATACAACTGTGGTTTACCATTGCACATTCGCAGCAAGTAGTTTTTTCCAGCTGAATAAAAGATGTCCTGAAATTAAAAAAAAAAAAAGAACTTAAAATTTAATGTTGTCTACATTCAAGCAACTGGGTTTCAAATATGTAACATACATACAAAGTTAATTCCATTAAAATGCAGAACAGATTACTTTGCAGTTGACAAATAAACGGCTACAATCTGTACCAATGCTAAAGCAAGCCTAATCTGTGCAGAAGTCACAAGTTTTATAGTCATGATAGAAGTTCAACATTTTAACCCCAAAACAGATACTTAAATTGCCTTTAAGAAAATATAAAAGCAGTCATTTTTATCCTTTGTTTCAAAATAGACTCCTCAAATTTTTACAAACAGTAAGGCCTAAGTCTGCTCACCGACTTCCATGTGGCTACACCATCTTCCACAAACTTGAAGAGTGAGCTGCATTTCTCTAGCTCCAAGCCATCAAACGTGTCTTGCAACAAAAGGAATGGTGTGGAGTGGGAACCTAATTCTGAAATTCAACAGATAATCATGAACTCATTGGAAATTTGTAGGAGTAAAATGGCACCTTAGCAAAAACATCAGATTTATAAATCGGCTGAAAATTTCATTTTAAAATTGAAGTTTGAATTGCAAACCATTAAATCAAGTGCAGAAAAAACTAGTGTTAATAGAAGTTAACAGAACATGATAATACTGATATCTGACTATCTGTTACAAAACAAACCATATATGACAATACAAAGAAAATTACTAAATGAAGATGTACTGTTTTGCACATTTTATAATCAACTTGAAAAAGCTTTCCTTACTCTGCAGTCTTGTGCCACATAAATATTATGACTAATAAATAACATTGCACAACTGTCTTTTTATTAAATATACAAAAAAAAAAAAAAAAAGAAAGAAAACCATACAAATCTATGCCACCAACCTTGTCTGACTGCCTCTACAGCTAAATTTATGAGTGATGTAAGTATGCTGATATCACCTCCTGACTGCTGAAAATAATTTACATAGGACGTTAGTTTTTTTTCCATCTCATGTTCATGTATTAATTTTATTCAAATCCATGTTTGTACCAAAAATAAGACTAACTTAACAGGTTATCAAAATTAACATAAAGAAAAAAAATACTCTTGGGACATGACTCATTCTGACACTCACCACTTGTTTGTGAACTGCATCTCTGAAGGCTTGGTCAAGGGCTAGCTTTCTTTCTGATTCACTAGAAGAAAATACAATTAAAACCGACTGTCTAATTAAAACAAAGCATTGCAATGGCCGTAGGCTGGTATTAACGTAATGTGATTTCTGCCCAGTGCTCTGAATGTCAAAGTGGCTAAACATTGGCCAAAGGCAAATCTATACTTCCACTTTTCTTCACTTGTATATAAATATGCAACATTAATAACCACATAACACAAAATAGCATGTATGCGTCAACTTGTAAAACACAATTCACTATCCAACAGATGCAGTCAGAGAGATTACAATTTCTTACCTGCCCGGCAAAGTTTGGTACTCATCTCGTAAACCATTCAAGTCTGTGCTGTTGTGATGTTTCTCAATGAATTTCTGGGTAAAAATAAAAATAGCGTTTCTTAATAAAACAAGGCAATCTTGATATGTGTTTCTTTTAATTCCATTTGCTTATTGTACATGGGCAGAGTTTTATTTAACAGCCATATATATATGTAATATGTGCTGTTTTTAGAGATGAAAGATATCTGTCTGTGAAGCATATTTTGCGTACGCTACTGACGCCGTGACGGTGTGTTTATTTGTTATGGAGCTTGTCTGCTACACCGTCGGCGGCAGATTTCAGCCTGCAAGTTCCAAACTGAGTGACCTGATCGGTTCGAAATAACCAGTGACTAGGAAGGCATGTTACCTGGTTGAGAGAAATTCCGCCTAGAAGACAATTGAGGGTTTCTCTGAACTGTATCATTTAGCGATGTGTAGTAATAATAGTAGGTTATAAACACCTTCGTACATTCAGCAACATAGTTCTTTTATTGTAGATAATTTTATGTTCACCCATGTAATAGCAGCCACTTTTGACTTCACAATGAATACATTGAACTTACTAGACACGTTTGTCTTTGCTTCTCAAAATCGGAGCCGCTTGCTGTGGAGGCTGCCATCTTTACTAAACAACAATCAATGACGAATTGCACATTCTACAAGGTGTACACAGGAAGTGACGTTTTTAACATGACATGTGGACAGTTTCAGTAGCAAATCCCTTGCCAAAGGACTTAATGATTAAAAATATGTGCTTTTTTCCTTTTAAAGTTCTTTAAACAGGTAATGTTATCCAATTTTGGTATGTATTTAATACCAGTCCTTAGGTTTTATTCCATTCCCCAAAGAAATACAGACACCTGTGCCTCGTGTCGTTCGGCTTTTTCATTTCAATGTCTGACTTTGGTAATTGGCCGAAATGAAAATGATAAGTTTTTGACGTTGCTACATTGTCAGCAGAAAAACAGCACAAATAGTACATGATTTCTTGGTCAGTACCTCTGAACTTTTAAAGATGTTATTTAGCCCCCCACGTCTACCCACAGGTACCTAGTAGCACTCCTGTTTACTGAAGTACTTTTTTTTATCATATATATACATTATTTATATTAAATGTACAGTTAACGTTTACTGTCTGTATATGTAGCTACTCCGTAGCTAAAGATATGTGTTGTATTTAAATGAGAAATCGCTGAATTAATAATGTTGACAGCTGAGCTTACATGTTTCATTCTAGCATAGAGAAGTGATGTTGAATTCTGATGGTAGTAAACCTTCCTATGGGTTTTACAAGACGCCAGTTCGCCGATCCTCTAACATGTTGAATCAAGGAGATCATACAAGCACAGTACTGATTGACCATTCTCATAGGGAACATAGGAATAGAAAGGAAGATGAATCAAAGGACAATATTTCTATTCTTTGCTTTGATTTAACACATGTATCCCCAGCTGTGCAATTTTTCATTTTGACTTTTGGAATCTTTTTCTTTTATCTGTTGTATGGTTATGTCCAGGTAAGTGAAAAAATTTTCAATAGGATATACTGTATATCAAGGGATTTTACATGGTTCCATATGTTGGATTAAGTGGCGGTAAATATTATCATGAAGTTCATGAATTTACCCTGTATATTGATTTGTTTTTAAATCTTAAATCTTTGAAATCGGCTTTGTTTACATATACCCTTGTAGTGCATGATAAATCAGACACCTAACTCTTGCAGGAGTTGATATTCAGACTTGAAGGCTTTCGTCCCTATGGTTGGTACCTAACATTAGTACAGTTTGGATGCTACTCACTGTTTGGTTTAGTTGAATTGTACATGAAAGCTGACAGACAACGGAGGTAAGTTTATTTAGATTAATTTGTTGAGCATGGGTACTACTTAATGATCTCATTTCAAATTAAATTAATGACAGTAAGTCTTGTTTGATGGAATAAATCTTACTTCCCTAAAATGTTATTTTTGCACTGCAGATGTCCTGTCTACCTTTCTGTACATAAACTCTAAAAATATGAGCTTTAAAAGAAAGACCTTTGTGCATTTAGGATGGAATTTTTAAATAATTTTTGCAGTAAAGAGTTTGATTACAAAAATGTGATTGTGCACTTGCTCTCCTTCATTTTCTGTCAAAAGTTTGTAACCGCTATAATTTCTATAATGTATTAATTCATATTTGATATTTTCCTGAACATCTTATTTTATACTGCAGGATTCCCCTTCCAACATATGGTTTCTTGGCCTTCTTAACAGTAGCCACCATGGGCTTGTCAAATTCCTCTTTAGGATACCTTAACTATCCGACCCAAGTTATATTTAAATGCTGCAAACTAATACCAGTTTTAATAGGAGGCATTATAATTCAAGGTGAGTAATGTGGTATATACACTTCATGGTAAGGGAATTTGACCAAGTGGTAACTTCTATTTAATCCCATATTTCTGTGACAAAAATCAGGGAATTTTATCCCATTTGTCCATGCATATGTGTGTTTGTAATTTCCTAGACCATAAGAAAAAAGAAATCGAAACTCTGGGGATTGATAGACATTCAATGTGATTTGTTTATATATATATATATATATATATATATATTCAGGATTGCAGCCTGCTTTTCCAAATCTCTGAATTAAGCATACTCTTTCCTGATAATTTTTGTATGTGTTTAATGTTACATTTTCCAAAATTCATGAATATAAAGCAAAATACAATGCATAATCCAAGTGGAAAGCGGGCTCACAAATTTTGATGCCCATGTCCTATTGTTGTTACTCAGTATCGTGGACATACAGATGTTTTTTTTTTGCACGTGAAGTTTGTAAATGAAATGATGTGGTAGCCATGTAAGATCAGTCTTTTTTATTCTTGTCTTTTTAATATGTATATTTTAATGTACAGCGAAAGAAAAATGTCCAATTTCAGGCAAAAAATATGGTGTGATAGATGTTAGTGCATGCCTCAGTATGAGCATTGGGTTAATCCTTTTTACTCTGGCAGACAGCACAGTTTCTCCTAATTTTAATTCTTATGGTAAGTATGATGATGCAGGTTCTTTCAAATTGCTTTATAGATAAAATTATTCATGAAAAAATGCTTATTATGATTTGATAAGGTATTCTTTATTACTGCCACAATATGCTTATTAAATCATTTCAAGTTTGGTGTTAAATGGTTAAAAAAGTATGGTTAATGATAAATGAAACTTAATTTTTAGATACATGTTACAATTTATCAGCTGACTTGTGTTTATGCTAGCATGTAAAAATTTTGATATGTTTTTCCCTACATTATTTCTCACTTACTTATTTATTTTCTAAGAAAAATGGTCCAAAGATTCCTTGTTGGAACTATATAATTCTAATAATTTGGTTAAGACCAAAAACATTTGTCAGCTTTAGCATGGCCAGTACTGCTTTGAGGGTGGAAATCTGTCTCATACATGAATGAAAAATGGTTCATGCAGCTGTCACTGACTTATTTTTTTCAGGTATTTTATTGATCTCACTTGCTCTTTGTGCTGACGCTGTGATAGGAAATGTGCAAGAAAAAACTATGAAAGAATTCAAGAGCACCAATTCAGAAATGGTAATGTGCATGTTACGAGGGGTTTCAACTGAAGCCAAATAGAAAAGAATTACTTTGTATGGTTGTAAATATAGCATGCAGACAAATGGCATTGTTTGAGTCAATGCACTTATTTGTGTTGTTTCTAGCTCTTCAATTCTTATGAATATCAATTAGAGGTAAAGAAAATGAAATTAAAAATCAACTGTTTTCAATATCATAATGATTCGTTTTACTGTTAAAATCCTTACTTAATTTTTTAAGATTGAAAAATGTTTGAATTTCATTTTAGGTATTATACTCATACTCTATTGGGTTTGTGTACATCCTATTTGGACTTGTTATCAGTGGACAGCTTTTTCCTGCATTTAATTTTTGTTTACAAGTAAGCTCTTTGTAATTTCTTTTCTCTGTAGCTTAACTGACCTTTTCCAAATAATATTTAAGTCATAAAGACCTAATACAGAGATTTTGTGCCTTCAGTGGGGCTGGCACTTACAAATGTTTTACGTGCCTTATTATCATTGAAACCTTTTTTCTAATGTGTCAATGTCAGCATCAAAGCATACTCATGCCCTGTGTATAGTGTAGGTTGACTGGTTCACTTGTGTATCAGCTGACTTTTCATACTGATGCATGACAGATCAGTTGATCTAGGAGCAATGGATCAGGAGGCCAGATGAAGGAGTCAATCTCTCAGTGTATCTGATCACCTGGAACAACCCAGACATCAAATTGAACAGGAGCAGCAGGGGTCTTACTGGTGCAAGAGGCGGGCAGAAGACAACAGCACATACACTTCGACCTGTCATGTGTCAGTTGTGTCCATGTTGTCTGACAGCCAGGCAAAACTGTCCACCCCCACATACACAGTGTAGATTTGCATCAATAGAACTATTAATGTTGTCATTTTAATAGTGTTTTACCTTCACAGTCTCTGTACTTGTTTCAGTGAATGCCAGTTTAATCATATTTCCTTATTCTATATAGTATCCAGTCGAAACGTATGGTTATGGTGCAGTCTTCTCCCTGACTGGCTATCTGGGAGTGAACATAGTACTGACCATGGTCAAGACATTTGGGGCTCTCATAGCTGTGACAGGTGAGTTAGCTATCACAACAAACTTCACTGGTTAAATTAATTAGAAATTCTGGAGAAAAAATTTGTCATGTGTGTTTTGCTACTTGATTTCGTGTTCTTGATGTCATTAAGACCAACACAAGAGGTGTGCATCTTGTAATGATTATATTTAAATGTAATGCAATGTAATATAATATAATATAATATAATATAATATAATATAATATAATATAATATAATATGTTTAGCTACATTTTCAGAAACGTTTATATAAAATAGTAGTTTCAGTTCAATCAGTGTGCCAATTGCATTATTGCTATAAGTCTGTAAAGCCATTGTTGAATTGTGTTAGTGGTCATTCACAGCAGATTTCAAGCAATCTTCAATCTAAACATATGGAACTTTGCAGTGTCTGTAAACTTACTATTGAAAAAAGGTATTTCAAATTTCATCTGAGACTATGTTTTTTAAAACATATTTTGTTTTAATATTGCTAGAGAAAAATGTAAACAGTTTGTATTGAGGCAATTCATTTATGATTAAATACTTTTTTCTCAGTGACCACATGTAGAAAAGCCTTGACCATAGTGCTTTCTTTCATTTTCTTTGCCAAGCCATTCACTTTCCAGTGAGTAGAAATCATTTTTATTTACATCAGTCAGTGTTGTTAAGAAAGAAAGAAGCTTAACTTAGACCTGTAATGAGCTAATTAATGTTACAAAACATTAGTATATGTTAAAACCCAAAGTAGGTCTGAAAATTTTGTAATTCCATTTGATGTACGCAAGAGAAAATTATTTTGAATGATGTGTATAAAAGAGCATCATTTTTTTGTGAAAATACCTCAAATGCTTCCCTACATGTGCAAATTCCATAAAATATCTAAAATAATTACTGCAACTTATAAGTAATGGCTTTTCTTTTAGATAGATATTGAAATTTCATCCAGTTTGATTACTTTCAGATATTTGTGGGCAGGTCTGATTGTTTTACTGGGGATTTACCTGAACATATACAGCAAGAACAAAACCAAGTGGGATCCAGTCATCAGAGAATATCTTACAAGACTGAACCCATGCAGAAAACGTGATATTCAGCTGAACAATATGGAAAATATTGTTTAATTTACCATTGAGGCCACAATAAGAACTAGTCACAATTGTACTTTGACTAAAATTTTGCTTAACATCAAAAGGTAGCTTGGGGGATTGTGTCTCTTGGAATATTTTTGGATTTGTTTTATGTTATAGTCTGTATACATTGCAAGCTTTACTCTTTACAAAGATTCTGAAGTCACTAATTTATTTTGCATAAAAAAAAGATAAGGTGCTGTGCATTGGAAATTGGTGCAAAAATTATGAAACAAAAAGTAGCTTAGTATTTGGTAGTGGGTTTCTAGTTCTAGCACACCATTATTTAATTTAAACTCATTTTTAAAGATATTTTTATGGACAAACACTGTGTGTCTGGACATACATCACCTTCATCTGTCATTCCCATTGCATTTAGCACTCGGAAATGTCATTTAAAAAATGAGTTACTCAATATTCTCGTACTTACAAGAATGACTCATACAACTAAATATACGATTCCAGTTTGAAAACAAGCCTGATTGGGTTATTTTTCTTTAAGTTATGATGTTTGTTTGTTTGTTTTTCTATATTTTTTCATTTTTCATGAATGGCATCTTGGTATGACTGAATTAGCATGGATTTGGTGCTCGGTCATTGTTACATTTTCCGAATGTCTGCAGTAACATAAGTACATGATTAAAAATTGATGGTGATTAAACTGTAAAGCATTCTGTAATATTGCATCAAAAATGACAAAAAACGTGCACTGCCATCGTTTAATTGTTTGTTCGCCTTTTTTAGAATGTTTTCGTGCAGCTCCTCTCACTTTTGTCATTTTTGTCTGTCCATTTGTCAGCTTTGCTGCCTTGTTTTATTTGCTCTAATCCAGTGGATGTTTACATACATTAATTTTGTTTTATTTGGTGTAGAATCCAATATTTGAGTAGGGTTTTATTATGGTTACTGAAACGGTTTTTGAGACATGCACAGGCATTTACGTCAGACTGAAAAAAGAAAAATCAATCCCATGAGCGATTCTCAGCTTCGTCATTTATACCTAATGTGGTTGTTTTTATTATAGAAAATGAGGGTTTTCATAAATTGTGATAAAGTATATTTATTTATTATGGTTATTTACACTGTATTTATGAGCATCATAACGGCTCTTTGAAGCTTTGGTGTCATTAAAGGGAAATAAATATGGTGGTGATTGAGGCGTGTCATTTTTCTTAGTTTTTTCAAGTGCAACAATAGAAATTTCCAGTCGGCTGCACTTAAGCATGTTATATACTAAAAGAAAATGTTTGTGGTAGATCTCGGGTGGCCATAAATTCGAAAGTCTTCAGTCCTACGGAAACAACAGAAGCCGTGTCTTTTATCGCTTGTGTTCACTCTTACACTGAAACTCAAAATAATTCGTACACGATTTTATAATTTGTGTGAAACAGAAAGGCTACGACGAGGATTTGTCATTTTCTTTTTTTGTCTTCCATCAGGCACAGTGTGCCAAGAGAGAATTTCTGTATGAAGCACCGTCGTCAAATTTGGTGTTTTTCAATGGTGGCAACACAACTTTTGATACAATGTTAAAGACCGATAATAGATACCAACATACCGAAATCTATTTTTTGCCTGAAAATCTCTGTAAAAAGAGTTATTATACATACACAAACACCACTTACTTGCCGGTCAAGACTTCATCTGACGTAAAACAAATGAAATAGTGTAAAAGTGAAAGTGAGCGAAGAAACGGATGCATATTTTCAGGCAGTGTTAAAAGAAACCCCTCCCCCTAAATAAATGAATAAACAATAAATAAAAAGATAAAACCTGCATTTTAGCACTTTTTTTGTCAGAACACTTAAACGCTAATATCCGTAGGGAAATTGTATACCGTGAGAAAAGCGTCAAGTCGATAAACTGATATCCTAGAATGAATGGTGCCCTTGTACTGGTTCAAAGGCAAATGTGTATCTTTACTTCTACAACTAGCACCATCTCGTTTAAACAAATAGCCGTTCCAAATTCCATCTGCAAAAAACGTGTAGAAATGAAAATGAACGAAGAAATAAATGTATCTTTAAAGGCAGCAAAAAGAACAGCATGTAAGCATACACTCTCTATGCGATTTAGCACTATTTGACAAAGCTCTTAAATGCCAATATCCGCAGCAAAATTGTACACCGTGAGAAAAGTGCAAAGTCGATAAAGTGATTTCCTGGTAAGGGTGGCGTCCTTGTTACTGGTTTAAAAGCACGTGTATAACTTTTCACGAGGGTCGCAAATATGGATTTGGTTTCCATAAACCAATTGACCACGAATTCAAAATGGCTTAATTGAAAATGAATTCATCGATGTTTTATAGATCTCGACTCGATGATCCTTTGTATGCATTAATGGGAGAGACACACAGTGCATTTGTCGAAACGAGTTTTCCGGAACACGTAGAAAGCAGCACTTACAATGTAGTCCCTATGATGCTCTTCTCATTATATTAAGCAAAGAAAATCAATTTTTCTGACAAAATGTTGCATTCATCCCAAAATAACTTATAGAGTAGAAAGAGGAGATTAAGGGAAAAACGAAAACATGATGGTATTGTCCAGGGATTTGTCCATTTATTGGCCAAGTATCCTAGATATGTCTTTGAATAATATTTTCCTCAAATACTAATTTGCCACTTGGCCAAGTATTTTTTAGGAACTAACACTGTTATTTGAAGACTAAATATGACGGGATGTAGGAATGGTTTAAAAGAACCTTTTTCTTGAACAACTTTAGTGATTCGCCGAAGGAATTCATTAATACACAAGTAAACTTGTCGTCGCGACCCGACACGATTGTACATAGGTTGCTCTATAAGACAGAATACCATGAAAAACTCAGCTTGGTGTGTCGTGCTCCAACTGCTGGCTTTTGTAGGATTTGAAAAAGTTTTAAGAGTGTCAGGCGGTAAGTAAAACAACTTCTTTCGTTATAATTTCCCTAACGGTACAAGTAGGATCATAAATGCTTATTTTCAAATCACTGTCAGCAGTTCTTCACATTTTTTTATTTGTCCCCTTTCAGGATGGCAGCATTTGGAAAGTTATTACCTGGAAACATCACTACCATACGATTTGATGAACCAGGTGTCGCTGGATGAGTGCCAAGCGCAGTGTATTTCATTAGGCACTGATTGTCCGGCTATCAACTACAAACCAAATGGTCAAAAGTGCCAGATACTACAACAGAAAGACGGAGATAACGGGTGTATATTGGTATATGCACATAACAGTTTCAGCTATTACGAGAAAACCAACAGCGAAAACGATACAGTCGTGACAAGTGAGTCTCTCTCTCTCTCTCTCTCTCTCTCTCTCTCTCAGAAATTTTAATATTTGAAAAGATCACGTTTTGAGTTACAACCGCAATGCCCGAACAATAACATCTCTGGTTACTTTCAGGTAAAAAACCTGGCCGTTTTTTCAGAAGATACGTCGGATACAAAATGCCTGCTCACTTGGTGATCGTCAACGAGACAGTGCTACAACGTACGATTTGTGCGTTCAACTGCATGGTGACCCCCCTCTGTATGTCGTTCAGCATACAGCCAGAAACGTACGGCTTGTCATATTTCTGCGAACTGAACAGTGCACGGAGGAACAACAACGGATCCAATCTACTTTCTGATTCAAGTTTCTACTATTTTGAGTGATATGTAAAATATAACATATCCTCCACATGTTCAGAAGGCCGACAAAGCACTACATAAGTTTGGTGAAGTTTACAGAAAAGGTCGAAATCCATTGGAATTATCCGACGTCTACCTAACAATCGAACTGGTGACCGATTCAAATATAATTATGATGTAGCCCCTATACCACATAGAATACCACACCAAATTGGAAGGGAACAATGTATATACAATACGATTTTATTGGTAGTTTTCAATTGGAAAAATACCTCAGTGCCTTGAATAGCTGAGCGTGATAATAATAAAATTAGCATTTAAAGCTGGTAAAAATGCAATTTTTCATGTCAAGGCCTACATATATAAAATGTCTTACAGATACATTATTACAAGGTTTAATATAAACAGTCCATGACATTTTGACACTCAGTACCGAATATAAAAATATGTGTACAATTCATTCAAATTGCGACAGAATGGCTCAATTTTTAGTATCTCTTTAATAAAACATATGCGAAAAAATTTGTATCGATTATACCGACACAACCATGTAACAGTTTAATGCAACAAACCTCGTTTGCATATTTTCTTGAAATCGAGCGACAATTTAGCTCAGATAATTTGGAAAGCATGAATTGCTCCCTTTTCACTATTGTCATATTTTGGCATATTTCTATTGATATTTAAAAACCCTTTAATTTGCCAGTTCTTTTGTTTGAGAGAGCAAAGATTGTGCAAATACATAGCGTTTTAAGTGCTTAAATATTGCTTTTAAAACGCTACTTCCTGGAGACGATGAACTCGACAAAATTCTCTAAAAGAAAGTAAATAACGGATTTGTGTTTCATCGACTTAGCGACTTTCCTTCTAGTATTAAGCAAAAGACAATGTAAAATCCATTTTCACGAGGAACGCTATTTAGACGCTGATTATCAACAGCCTCTTGATTTTTTATTAGACGGGATAAAAAGAAGTAAAGATATATCCAAAAAGCATTTTACGCTTCAACATGAAGACGACGTGCCTGTTTGTTGTTCTTTTGTATACAGTGATAGCATCGATATTCATGCAAATGACCGTAGGTGAGTGTAGTACATATCATCAGTATTATGTCTGAAATTTTACATCATTATTTCTGATAGATATACAAGTTAATGCTCATAGATACTTTCAAGATTTCACTGTAGTTTTCTTCCATAGAATCATCAAATAGAAGAGGAACAGAGAAGCAAGTCTCAGGCGGATTAAAAAAAATATTATCAGTATTGGGACGTTGATTCCGTCCACGTGGATGGCATTTCGACAACGTTTCCAATAAAAATATACTTTTGAATCGTATCGTATCTTTGAATCATGCATTGAAATAGTCTTTTAAATGAATTAAGAAACTTGCTTTGAAACGAAAAGCGCCAGTTTTGCGTAGTGAGTTGTGTGCTTTTTTCATCAGTAGAACCTATGCCGTGTTCATGCTGCATATTTTAACTCTAATAAGCTATCGTCAAATATGTTACATTAAATGCAGCAATTCAAGCATTTGGCACATTTCAGTTATTATTCCTGTGAGTTAGGATGTTGGTAACGAATTGATTCACTTTCTGCAGTTTCCATTCCAAAATGCACAGTCGATATCCCGTTTGGGTATTCTAGCGTTGTAAAGGGCAGATAATGTTAATTATGTCGAGTTCCTCTGACCCTGAAAGGGATAACAATATGAGATTCATATTTCACAATAAAGACATTGTAAACAACTCATAGAAATATTCCATTTTACCACCAAAACAGCGGTTATCGCAAATTCTGGAATATGTGCTTGCCAGCAGAGCACGCGGACCATCATAAATGGCTATACCTCCACAATAATCTCTTTGGACATTATTAAAAAAATAAAAAAAAATAATAAAAAAAAAAAACATGAACTAACTTTGAATGTCGGAATTGATTCATAAACCACTCGTCAGGATGGGGAAATCGTCGTTAACCTCAGGAAAATACTTTTTTGCCAAAACGAACAGTTGTTATCCCTTTAACTGCGAGCACATCCATGACATAAATAAATAAATAAATAAATATGAAAAAGGTATATACATGTATATTTAACTACATTGCTTTGCCAGGTTCTTTATAATCATATTATCCTCATAAACTGTAAGCAACATTTTACATTTCTTAGGCAGTACCTGTGCGCGAAGCTTTTGTGGGAAAATGGGGAAAAAATTCAAGCCAAGCGTCGCGGATGAAATTATGCAATTTGACATCGGGAACCGAATGGATTGCGCAATGGCGTGTGCTGACCTTCCCGACTGCCAGTCGTACGGCATCAAAAATGTGGGAACACTGCGTTGCACTTTGAACAGGAACAAAGCTGCAGATGACGGAGAACTTTTGAATTACCCAAGCGGAAATTATGACTACTACCATCTCTAGAAACCCGCTAGCCGTTCTTATCTATAAACAAAGCGACAATCTACCAAAGTCCGCTGTGTTAACAAATAACGGCACGTACCTAATAACACAACAAACAGGACTGATGGAACGGTCAGGAAATAAGAGCAGTTATCATCCATTTGTCCACACAAATTTGTCAATACATTGATTTCAGGCTGGTGGTTATACGTGAGGCGAAGCCTAGAAACTTTTACCACACCCATTCACGTAATCGACTTACTGGTCATCAAACACGACTTGGAGGACTGGTGGCTGAATTTGGCCCTGACAATAACGTCTACAAAAAAAAAAAAAAAAAAAAAAAACTGAAATAGTGGACATTTAGGAAAAGAACCACAGACCCGTATGTGTTTTAACCTCATTTTAAGCAAATATTCCATGGAGGGTTCTTTTAAATAAAAGCTATGGAAAATAATTACCCAAGTTCAATAATGAAATAAAATTCAGCAATTCTATTAAAAATACTGCAGCTTTTGTATTTAGTATCAACATGACAGTCATTCTCAATATATATATGTCCAATTAACATTTTTTTATTAAAAGTTACCCGGCGGAAGAGTTGTTTTTCCAAGTGGAACTCTACATTATATCAGTCTAGTAACTTACAAAGATACTATTTACTAGATTTTTATGTTGTCACGCAAAAGACATAAATGGACTTAACTTTAAACCTTCGTTATTATCGCCTATCACCATCTCAAATTTTACAATCGATCTTGTTTATTTTTATTAAAGTAGAAAATCTGCAACTTGTCAGTAAGTGAGTATGATGTCTACCATCTCAGAAAATGTATATCTAGAATGTTTATTTATGAAATAACTCAATAAGTAGCTTGTTTGTACTTTTGCGGTGTCGCCGGGTTAAAAAAACCTTCGTCACGTCTTTTGGCGCAGGTCATCAGTTTCAGTTATTTGATCTATTAACTTTTTGTAATATATTAGCCATTAACGCAATCTTGAATTGAGTAACGTCCATTATTAGCTAGACGATATGGTGACATGTCACAGTTGATTGTTTTACAGGAAACTGCATGCTCTTAGGACGTTATTTGCAAAACTTTAATTCGTTACCAGGCATTGTGAAAAAATGTAGGCCTACTTGCGGTTGATGACAAAATGTTTCAGTGAAATAAACATGCATTAGCGCAGTCTTATTTTTGTTAGTGTTAAAACTTTCAAGTATTATCCTTGTTATTTTAAAGACTTGCGTTGCTAAAACAGCTGCAACTTCCGTTAAAAAATTCGAAAATTACCCCATGCTAGCAAGGCATGGGTTTTAAAATTTTCCATGATTTACAAAAAAAATTTTTGTATTGACAATGACTCCACTAGACACTACTACAATCTTCGGCAATGAATTACACTGTAAATAAGCTTCTCTAAATCGTACGTAAAATGTCTGTCAGTTTTAACAAACACAAAAATCTACTGAACAACTGAGGACATAAAACTGGAGCACTTCAGAGACATCTGGTGTCAACAGGCTGAAAGCTTATCATACGTTCAGTTTGTGTAATATAAAGCTTAGATATAAGTTTGGACTGAAAATAATATCTAAAATGTCTTCACAAATAACTTCAGTTCAGGCAACACAAAAATACAATCACTGCAAAACAAACTGAAGACATTAACGTAAAAAAGCAGTTCAGAGACATCTGAAGTCTTAATCCGTTTAACATACAGAATAGCTGTTAGCTGTCAAGGCAAATTGCTACAGAAAAAATACATGACAGAACACTGATAGGAACCACTACATGACAATTTTACTGCATGCATGCTGACTCCATTGGCAATATTACCGTTCTATCTGCTCTCTTTCTCTTCCGTTGGTTTGGCTTTTTCCCCTTACCTGTTCCTCCAATTAAATTCAATCCACAGGAAGAGACTATATTTCGCTTACCTTTGGGCGTATTTAAAAACCTTTGAGTGTGTTGTCTCTGCACTTTTACTTGCCCACGCACACCTGTCTACTCTACTAAAATATGAATCCAATCAAAATTCCCCCCTTCCCTTGAAGGCTCTCTCCATCTCCAGATATTGTCCCTCGACAATTTCATAAAAAGAATTAACCAGTGTTCGAGTATCTTGGGGTTGCCAATTTACCTTCATCTTCATGATGTGATTAACTAATTCACAATTATTATTTGTCCATGCAATAGGTAGATCTTTGTGTCTTTCTCTAGTTTGGAAGTTTTCCTGTAATTAATGTTTTCAAATTGAGGTACATTTTCAATATTTCTTAAAACTGATTGGCTCCTTTCCTCAAAAACTACTTGATTGTCAGAATATATTAATCCATTTTTGCCAAATATAGCTGAAACTATTTTGTTCCTTTCTTCTTCATTGGCCCCAAATTATAGCATTGTTTTTGATTGGCCGATGGCAAGAAATGTGATCTGTATTACTTCCAAAACCAAAGTTTGCACCTTTCTTGATAACTTTTTCCTCATTACTTCCGATAACTAAATTTGGATTTTTATAGGCATTTCCATAGCAATGGAAGTGAAAAAGTTCCCAAATGTCTTCCAATCAGATTGTCAGTGAATAAGAATGGGTCCTAAAAATATGGTTGATTCATACCAATCCTAGGTGCTTGTAAGTTAGTGAAGTGACATGAAGTTGTCCCAGGTTGAACGGTTTATCGGCACCCAAAATTGTAGTGATGGAGTTGGGAGCAGCGAGATCTGTTCATCGGTACACAACTTTACACAAGGGGACTTGCTCTTTATGTGGTTGATCCTGCGAATGAAAGGGTGTTCATGGTGTGAATTGTGTAGATTAACAAAGTCTTTTGCTACATTAGCAGGTCCTGCAGTCTAAGTACGAGCCTTTTTATTTGCTACCTGTTTCAACTTTGAGGGTCATTGGTTTTCTGAATCCGCTACACGAACCAGCTTTTCGTAAAGTTCACAAGGTTTGGAGACACGTTCGGCAGTTATACGGTCCATAACAAAGTCTGAAGTACTGCAATACGGGTTTACCGCGAATATATCTTCAAGTTAATTTTTCACTTTTCTGTTTTCTTCAAAAGGACCTATATATTAAGAACTGAGAATTATAATTAAGACATGGAATTATTGGGTGCTGTTACATTCCTGATACATACCTATCTACTTTGCACTTGTGAAAATTAATTTAACTATATTCCTGTCTGACGCTCCTTGTTTATCAGAAATGTCATTAAAAGAAGTGGATTTGAAATGGGACCTTATTTCCGCAGCAGTCCCAGCTAGGTGTGGCTCAGCTGAGACGCGCATGGTCAGTGTCGACGGTTGAATACTGTTCAAGCGAGTTGAACTTCTCTGCGACAAGCACGTAAGAATTTGGTGGGAGGTGACCAGCGCACGTGGACGGTTTTATTCCATATAACTTCTCTAGAGCTTGATATAGGGTCACTTTATTCGGTTTAAGGGGTGTTTTAGGATGAAATTACTCTATTTTTTCACGGTATATATGTCAAATAATAGGGCCTACACTGTCACCCTCTCACCATATATGCCATGATGCCATGAACACCTTTCGCTGGCGCTCGAGGTGTTATGGCATATATCGCTCGGGTGACAGTGTATTATCCCACACATACATGTATATATCTACTTCGTTGGTAAATGTTTCTCATTCACCATTAACCTTAATTGGGGTATTAAAAGAAATATTTTCACTTTTTAACACAGAAGAGCACATTTGAATATGCGTTGTATGTTGCCATATTTCACAAAGCCAAGAAATGTAGTTATTCTCATGAATATTACTTTAAGTGTTTTGTGTATACATGAGGCAAAATTTCATTATACCTACCCATTCATACGTACTTTCGGCTGGGGAGTTCAATTCTCTTGTTTTTCAAAGTCAAACATTATACAAGCATTATGGTGAAATGAACAAGTGAACTTGTTTTGGCTGTCACTTGTCAATCATCTGGTGTCAGTGAGAGCAGATACGTACCTCACTTGCTAGATAACACCACTGAAATGAGCAACTCCTTGGTTTACTGCCATGGAAAGGGCCATTTCAGTAGATACATGTACAATAAATTACAAAAAGAGTAAGAAGCAGCCATAGCATGTTTGTAACTCCTAATTTTCTCAGGTTTATTGCAGTAAGCACGATTTTGACAACATCACTGAAAAAGCAAGCAAACAGATTCATTTCACCTGTTTCACGAATTATCTGACTTAGTAGCTCAAGACGAAGCGTTCATGAAAATTTATCCTGAACTTAAATATCGTTT